TCATAAAACTAGTTGTTACATTGTTGACTCTTCCCTTCATTTATATGGATGTGGTTATACCACTTTCTTCTATCTATTCAAATGAAAGATTCATTATAACCAAATTAATATTTGTTGTTGCTGTGTGCCTTAAAGTCATTTCTGACTGATGGTGACCCTAAAAGGAACTAGTAATGGGTGTTTTTTTTTTGGCAGGTTTCTTCAGAGAGGGTTTGCCATCAACATTTTCTGAGGCTGTGACTTGCCTACGGTCACCCAGTGGGTTTACATGGCCAAGCCAGGATTTGAACCCTGGCCTCCAGAGTCACAGTCCAACACGCAAACTACTACACCATGCTGGCTGAAATTAATATATATTTCCCCCCAATTTTTGTTTGTCTAAGAAATTCAGGTGTGGGATTATCCTATTTTGATTTTACAGCAACCCAGTGAGATAGAAAGGCTAGGCTGAAAATTGGTCAAGAAAGCAATCCTGTAAGTTTCACAGCTAAGCAGAGATTTGGGGTTTCTAGTTGTTGTTGTGCTATGTGCCTTCAAATCATTTCCAATATATGGTGATCCTAAGGCAAACCTATCACAGGGTTTTATGGGGCTGAGGGTGTGTGACTCACTCAAGGTCACCTGGTGAGTTTTCATAGCTGAATGGGGAATCAAACCCTTATCTCCAGAGTTGTAGTTCAACATTCAGCCATTACACCACACTGGTTTCTAATGCTATAATTCCTCTTAAACTATCATTACAACATCCTCTGGAATCTTGGTATTTGCAATTTAGGGAGCAGCATTTAGAATTCTCAGACAGAGAGCTCATCTGATGCCTGTGACCAAACTACCAACCCCAGAATCCACAGGATGGAACCATGGCAGCCAAAGTGGAATCATAGTGCTAGCATTGTGTAGCCCTGAACACGTCTAAGTCCACTATAGCACAACCTATCTTGAGTGGATCTAGATGGAAGGATCAAGGCCTATATGGCTTGGAGCTACAATTACCAACAGAAAACTTACCTGGGACCTTATTGCACAAGGAAAGAAAGTGGAAGTTCATCTGGATAGTGGCTCTTTTCTACATGACACCATAGTTCCTTAGTTATCTTCCTGTGGGAGATGGTAATAGAAGTGAGTCGTTTGACAAAGGACTCACTTTTATGATGGTAAAACTCATCATAGAATTGAAAACTATGATGTCATGTTATAAGGCACATAGAAAGGCACTACTGTTTGGTCGAACTTCCTCTTTCTTTCCTTGTGTGATAAGCAGAATATTAATTTAATCTATTTTACCATCAGAGCTGGCTCTACCATTAGACAGAATAAGGTAACCACCTAGGTTAAAGTGAAGGATACTGCCCTGATGAAGTAACATTCACCTGGCAAGTCTCTGCGGATTCTGCATATGAAGCGAGAATGGCATGGTTTGGCCCTTCATCACAGGTAGCGACATGTTTTGGGTGATCCGTCTTTACCATGGAAGAGAACTTATCTGGTTAATAAAAGGCAGTAAAGGAGAGACACAATACTGAGGTTGCATATATCCAGGTAGTCCTACTACATCCTCCTCCCCTCCATGTGTGGGTCATGGCCCTAGGCAGGTTCTTTTTCAAAGAGACTTGCTTTCTGGGATGTGAATACAGCTTGTTGTTAGTTCACGGAGGCTGAGGCATTTATAGCCCTGTTCTGTGAAGCTGACTCTGGAATGTTTTGTGAGGGATAATCATTAGTTCTTTACCTTATTTAATATGGAAATCATGTCAAAGGTAAATGCCAAGAGGCTACAAAATTACCCTCCTTATCTCCCATACATTTATCAGTTGATAAATGGAAAGACAGTGCTGCCAAAATAACTGTGAATGAATAATTTATAAAATGACTGATGCTTCGTGTATATTGTTTCAGGCAGGAAACAGTAGGACATCAATAATCAAAAGGAGTTGGATTAATTTAGCAGAATTCTGCAGCTAATATTTTTATCTAAATGCTACAGTCATGGACCTCTGTTGTCAGGAAATCCCTCCCTCAGCCACTTTATGTCTGATTCAAAGCCCACGGAAGTCAATGGGAGGCTTTCTCATTTGCTGCAGTGGGTTTTATGGCGGTCTTTCCACAGTGTGAAGAGTTTTCCTTTGTTCATTTTGCTCTGTTTGAAGTTCATATATGTGTACATTTTAGTGCAATGGTGCCAGGGGCAACCCTGTTCATTAGACTCAAGTGACATTTGTCTCAGGTATGTTCTTTGAAAGGGGCACTGTATCCAAGTATCCCTCTTTTTCTTCTTCAGCCCACAGCATGGGAAAGTTGCTTAAAACAAATCAAATAAAAAACTACAGCTCCTGGAATCTAGTGGCCATCCTGGCTGGGGAATCAGGGAGTCCAAAAAATGACATTTTAAGGATCAGTGTCAGCCTTCAGATCAGCCTCAAGTGTCTAGTCCCAAGATGGGTAATTGTGTCTTGTGTGGAAACTAACGTTTGCCCTTGAAGTCCTTCAGCATGATAAAAAATTTGATCTGGAAGTGTCAAGAAGTGTACTTCCAATGGGCACTTCTTGTGCCTTTGGATGACTTTTATTCCCCCCCACAACTTCAATTTTATGAGGTAGCGCAAAAAGGAAAACTAATCCATTTTTGTGGTATTTGGGATCAATTTCCTCTATTTATTCCCCATAAAAATGCTAAATGGAGGAGTCTGGAGGCTCAGGTGCAAGGGTGGGTTGATCAGGGCACCAAAAAGAGCAATTTCATGTGATCCTCAGGCCACACTTTCTCTACCCCTGTTGTAGCCCTTGTGCTTACATTCTTCAGTTGTCCCTTCTCTCCCTCCTTGTTCTTCTGTTCTATTCAGAATATCTTGCACAGGCACAACTCATTTAATAAAGGGTGCATCTACATTGTAGAAATAATGCAGTTTGACACCACATTATGGCTCCATTCTACAGAATCCTGGAATTTATAGTTTTGTGTTGCATCAGCACTCTTTGGCAGAGAAGGCTAAAGACCATGTACAACTACAAATCCCAGGATTCCATAGGATGGAGCTACAGCACTTAAAGTGGTGCCAAACTGCATTATTTATACAATGTAGATACAGCCACTGCCTCTGAAAGAAACAACTCCTTTTTACAGTCTTTCAGTGCCCCCAATCCTCCCTGGGGAAGCTACTTTTTAAATGCAATTTGTTTTTGTTACTTTTTATGATGTTTGAAAATTAATTTGTTGTTGCTGCTTGACATTATGTTTTATATAATGGTCTAGGTTACTATGTTGCATGACACTATGTTTTACCTACAAGCAACTTTTATATTGTTTGTTACTTTTGTTACTAGGGGCATTTTTAGGATTGATAAGAGAATGGCATAAAGCTGGGAAATTCTTGTCAAAATGCCTCAAAATATGACTAAAAAGTTAGTTGAAAATTGTTTTTTTTAATAAAATAATTTTCTTTTTACTCATAATACTTCAAAAAATGTGACTTCATTTTTTCACCTCCTGAAAGATAATTCATTACAAGTAACTCTGTTGCTTAGCAATTCATTATTTCCAAACACTGGCATAATCAGTTTCACATGTTTCTGGTTGGTGTAGTCTTTCAGATTTTGTTAATCTGGAAATGCTGTGGCAAATCCACCAGATGGCTTCATTGTGGATGCTTTCCCATAGAATAAATGGTGGCAAAGGCTGCTATACTGGGGAAACTATCTTGCCTACAAAATGATTAGTGTTATGGATTTAAAAGAGCAAACATTCATCTAAAATGGAACTTGGGATCACTAGCCATACCATTAGAATTAGCAACTAGAACATGTGTGAGCAGCATGACCAAATGTCCTAACTGTAAAAGAGACAAGGCACTGCAAAATGGAGGAAATTCAAGGAAAATGGAGGACATGACAAAATAAAAGCTACAAACACTCATATAAATATAAATTCAGGCTTCTTAGTCATGCTCTAAATGGAGGGCATTCTGAAATTTCTCCTGGACAAAAGGTTGAAATGTAGGACATGTCCTGGAAAAGGAGGATGTCTGGTCATCCTGTATGTGAGGCTTTAAAAAAATACCCAGAGTAGCATATTAAGACTTTTTTTTAAAAAAAATCAAATAGTTGTCAATAAATGGAGATAACCTTTTCAGACTTGCAACAAAACTTAACTAAGGTGTTAGGATGCTATTCTATCCATATTTTCTGGAAGTGAGAATAATCAAATGCAATGAGTCTTACTTCTGAGTGTCATATATCATTTCCACTGGCAATCCTCTTAAAATATTCCCAAGATCCTTAGCTAAGGCAAAAAGTTGACTGTTATATAATGAACAGTTGAGTATTATGCATTATTTCCCCCTTTCTTCCACTGTCTAGATCTTCACTCAATTAAAACCCAGGATCAGCTTCAAGCTTAGAGCGACTGCTCAGGTCTTGTGTGCCTCCTTTTCACGCAAACACCTCCCAACTTCTTTCTTATCATTCACCAACCAATTTATTTTGTTCTTTTCTTGCCACTTGCATGGAACTGGAAACAGAGTAAATGTCAATAAATGTATAAATAAGGAAAACACATTGTGAATGTACTGATGAATTTCACTTTTGATGTTTGTTTGTGGTAGAATAACGCAATTCCAAATTACCACTTTAATATAAAAGTCGCAAAATTCACAACCTCCCCTCCCCCACCATTCTTTCAAAACTACACTAAGGGCTACAGTTGAACAAATCAAAATTTCATGAAGCAAATTAATTTCTTCTTCAGGTTACACATACACCCAAACACCCTTGGTAGTCAGTCAGTCAATTTAGAGATTCATTACATTGTCTTCCTCAGTATAAAATCAATGGGTGCAAATCAGCAGACAGCTCTAAAGAGATATTTGTCTATAAAATTTCTCAAAGTCAGAATTGTGGAAATCAGAAGATTAATATAAAATGTTAGTAGAGGAGAGAGCTGCCTCCTCCCAACTATACCATGCCTTTTTTTTCTGGTTCTCTTCACTCCTGGTTCTTTTTTAAAATTTATATCGCAGCACTTTTTGATCTCTGTATTTCTTTGTTTTGGCTTTCCAGGTACCAAGGGAAAATGGCTAGCAGTGAGTTCTTTTTAAGCTTTTCCCTTCTCCAAAAGGCCCCCTGGCTTAGCCAGCTGGATCACACTGAATTAGTCAAGAACTTCATTATCTCCCTTCTCTGCACATATTGCTCCAGGTAACAAAATGCCCAAACAAGGGAGCCAATGCCTTCTGCCGCACTGTCTGTGAAGTTGCATTGTTGCGGCCAATTCTGCAGATCAGCCTTGTGCTCTGGGAGGGCATCGCTCCTCATCCCTTGCCTGCAGTGCTTCCCAATATCCATTTAG